TAATACTTAACATAATTTTAAGGCATATATGCTTTGAATTATAAAATTTGAACTAGTTCTCGTTTACCAAAAATGATTGTGATTATAAGATTTGTTTTTATGAAAATTTATATAGGTGCCGTTTATAATTAGTTCTCTAGAGATAAAAAACAAAACAAAATAAAACAACACAAAACACAAAGACAGACAAACAGATACAGAGATCTCTTGATATGCATTTAAAATTTTGGCCATATGTATATATTTTAAGAGAGAGAGTTATTTTATTAATTTTTGTGATGTCACTGAGGTTTTTTAATGAGTTAAAAACTGTGTAGAGAATAAGTATTTAATATTAATTATTATCAAAGACGTTGGGCTTGAGACCACAACCATCAGGCAGTTTTTACTAACTTTTTGAGATAAGAGAATATTTTTTGAGTTTATATTTTTAAGAAGTGATTTTTTGACTTTAGGTTGTCAGTGTTTTATTATATTGAGAGCAAGTATATATTATAACAAAAAACACTGTTATTTTGATAACAGGAGAAGAGGGAAATTTTTACAGTTTGCCTATTTTTAGGCTTTTATTAAAATTTGAGGTTTGAATTTAGCTCAAATATGTTTGTATTATTACTTTAAATTTTTAAGGTTAATTAATTTTAACAAGAAACTTAACCTTTTACAGGTCCAATAAGTAAATTTAAAAACTTTTATTCAACCAATAAGCATTTTGTATAGCTTGTTAGCAAATCAAAGTAACTTAGAAGTTTTTACCTTAGACAATTTAGACTTTAAAATTCAGAAAAAATATAGGGAAATAAAACTTTTTTCCTAGAATGAACCAAAACAGTTCAGTCCTCCACAGCAGGAAGGCAGTAGAGACTTGCCAGTGATTCCCAACACTGGAGAAAAAGTCCAGGCAGCTGCTTATTGAGACCAGGGGCAGCCCCCACCGATTTGCTGCAGTGGGTTTATAACATTTTTATAAAAACCTTTAGTTATATTATATAGTTATATTTAACCATTTTTTATTACCTTAGTAATAGTAAATGAACTTCAAATATTATTATTTAGAAATACCTTATTTATTTATTTTAAAAGAATAAATGGCAAAACTTTGGAAGGGGAAACCATAAAAAGACCACATACTTAGAATCAGAAAACAAAGTTAAAGACTGAGCAAAATGCTCAAGTGCCATAATGACTGTAATTATTTCAGCCTGTTGAGTAGAAACATTTTCAGTAACTTTTTGTAAAGGTTTATCTCCAAGACTATAAACTGCAGAGACTCCAGACGAAGAGCCATAAGTGAAAATGACCTTTGTATTGGGTACAGGTTCAGAACTAATAATTTTTGGAAAAATAAGTTTAGTTTTCTGCAAATTTCAATAATGGATGTTGAGGCAAATGAAATTTAATTTGACCTGTAAAATTTAATAGAGCAATCCCCCAATCATCATCATTTTGTAGTAAATAATCAAACTGAGTCCTGTTATAAGGAATAACAATATTTGAAGGACTTTTGCCAAATAATTTTTTTTGATCTACTGAGACCTTTCATAATAAGAAAAGCACACATGGTTGCATAAGCAGTAACCACGCGAGTCTGTGAATGTGCTAGATACACCCATTCAATTATGCCCTCCTGCCATAAGCAGGTTGTAGGAGTGTAGACAGTTTTGAGAATTAACAAATCCCATGGTAATTCATAATTTAGTTGAACAACTTTAGCCTCCAATATTTTTTGCTCAACCAGATTTAATTTCAGCAATGCTTCAGGAGTTAAGCTTCTAGGAGATCGTGGGTTAGGATCTCCCTGCAAGACTTCAAATAAAGGATGTAAATCTCCAGTAGTAATTTTTAAATAAGGCCGAATCCAAATTATATTTCCCAACAAATTTTTGGAAGTCATTTAACGTTGTGAGTTTGTCTACTTGAATCTGAATATTCTGAGTCATGATAAAATTATCATGAATAATTTTACCCAAATAATTTAGAGTTCTATTTCTTTGAATCTTATCTGGAGCTATAACAAGGCCAAAAGCCGTCAAATCTTGAATTAAATGTTGTAAAATTTGCTCAAGTAAGTCTTTAGACTTATGACTTAGTAAAATGTCATCCATATAATGAATAATATATGCCTCAGGAAACTGAGTTCTTGTAGCTTGCAAAGCCTGATCCACAAATTTTTGACACAAAGTGGGTGAATTTTTCATCCCTTGTGGTAAAACTTTCCATTGATATTTCTGCCAGGGTTTCTGAAAATTACTAGATGGAACGCTAAATGCAAATTTTGGGCAATCATTTGGATGCAATTTTATAGTAAAGAAACAGTCCTGTAAATCAATAATAATAATATGATTTTCTCTAGGAACAGCCACAGGGGAAGGCAAGCCAGGTTGCAAAGCACCCATATCTTGCATAGTAGCATTTACTGCTCTAAATATTTACTGCCCCACGTTGGGCGCCACCTGCCGCGGACCAGCGCAGCGGTAGACTTGCAGGACTGTCTCAGGATTTGAGAAACTGTGAGGATGCTCAAGGAATCGGCGCATAAATGACAGACAGACACACAAATGACAGACAGACACACTTCAAGAGTGAAGATCTGAATGTAATTTGCTCAAAATCATCATACACTTTTATACCATTTCCAACAATAGATGATTTCATACAATTTAATTCTTTCTCAGCATAAAATACTTTGTAAGGCATAAGACATCTACTTCATTATTCATGTGCATGTGATCGCTGTTCCATGACATGGCACAGTAAACAATCTCCAGGTACTGAATCTACACAATCATTTTTGCCTACACTGAACAGCATTCTTTAAGCCAGCTTTTCTTGATTCGTATCCCAAAACCACAATGATCAGAAAGCATTAATATTTACCTACTGGCACCTTCTACTTTTAGTGATCACGAGCAATATATTCTCTACGTAAGCATTTTGATTTTTATGGTGTTGTCTCATGTGAGAAGTATTATGATTATTATAAAACTACCATTGCCACACACTATTTTCTTTATCATGCATTTCCTGAAACTGATTGTACACATATAAGGAAAAAGCAAAGTAAGTGAAAAAGTAGTATGATTATAGACAGGTTGCTAGGTTGCTACTTATTCTGAAACAATGGCTATTTGATTAATGGTAAAACTGCTTTGTAGGTAATTCCATCAGGCTTGTTTGCAGGTGACGTTCTTAGCAGCCTTGTTTCCATCAAAGGAGGGGTTAATTACTGCGGGCTTGTTGCCTAAATTAGGCTTATAGGCATGTGTGCCTTGTTTGATCTGAACGCCAAAGTTTATCATGATGAAGCCCCTCGGGGACTGCGCCTGTCTTAGGTCGTCAGGAGTCACAGACATGAGGCTGGCCAATGCCTTCTTTAGTCTGCCCCCGATCTTACCCGTCATTGACTGTCCAGTCCAGCGCACAGGGGAGGGGGGTCTTACTCACTCTGATGTGTCTGAGTGAAAGCCTCCCTCTTTCCAGTAAGTTCACTGGCGTTCAGCGGCAGAGGCTGCCGCATCTGAATGCAGATTTGAAGCTACCAGAGAGGGAAAGTGGGGGCCTGGAAGAGAAGTGGGAGGGGCTCAATGGAATATGGTGGAGAATAACTGGTGCTTGGATGGTGTGATGTGGTAACAGACATCAGAAGATGTATGAACCTATACCCCTAAATCATACACAATGTTGTAAACCAAAGTTAACTCAATATAAAAAATATAATTAAAAAAAGTTCTCATAACAGGAAAAAATGTAACTGTGAAGCAATGGATATTAATTGGTAGTCATCTTGCAAAATATGCACATATTATTATTTTGTACACCTTAAACTATACTATATTTCAATGATATTGCAATAAAACTGGGGGGAGGGGTGAAGAATAACCAGATCAATCATGATCAATTTTATCATACTTTAGATCTTCACCCAATTTGATTATCTAGCAAATAGGTTTTCTCTATTTAGTTCTCTCAGTGATATTCTTTTACCTGGAGTTTCTGTGATCAGCAAAAAGAAAGGATTCACAACACACTACCTGAATAAACAAAATACTTTTAAATTCAAAGATAAAGCTAAAAAGATAAAAGATACAGAAAACCTTTTCCTTGACCACCCTGCTGCATCTAGCTAATGCTCTATTTCTCAGGTCCCACTTTAGCTCTTACCCTTGATATCTGCTTGACTGACTTTTTCTTAGCCTTCACATTTCATTTTAAATACCATTTCCTGAGGGGCTCCCACCCAACTAAAGCATTCACTCATTGGCTTCCTGTTACATCAATTTTCTTAATTTCTCTGCAAAGTTTTAAACAGGACTAGACATTTTTCTTGTTACTCGTTTAGTGTTTGCTTTCCCTCACTGAACTTGAGCTCTAAAGCAGCAAGCATCTTGTCTGGCTCCTTCACTGTTGCATTTCCAGGATCTTGAACAGTGCCTAGATATAGGAGGTGGTCAACAAAGACTTACATTGCCCTTACAGGCTCTAAGTGATCTGTCCTTACTTCTCTAACCTTGTCTCCTACTATTTTCTTCCAGCTTAGGTCTCAGCTCCAAACTGACCTTGCTGTTCCTTTAAATTAGCCAAGCTCAAGATCTTTGTTCTTGCTAAACTATTCCTTTTCCTTGGAAGGCTCTTCCCCCCACCCCCTGTAGCTTTCTTTAGTTCTTTCCTCAAAATTTACTTTCTTATTTAAGCCTTCCCTCTCTGGGAATTTAAAACCGTAGGCTCTACTCTTTACCTCCTTTCTTAAAGCTTAAATTTTCATTATAGCACTTACCAATTTTTGGTGTACTATATAATTCACCATTTATTTTGTCGCCTTTCCCTTCTACTTCTCAAGAAGTCCCTGACTTCCCAACACCTAACAGAGCATCTAGCACAAAACAGCAAACACTTATTAAATGAATGAATTTGTGAAACGAAGCATAAATGAACACCTGAGTTGAAATCTGTTATAAGTGTAAGATATTATCACGGTTAGTAAAACTACCTACACCAATAAATTATCTTAATTGTAACATTCATGCTTGCATCCTTCACATCCCTGGCACAGAGTCCTACACACAATGGGCTCGCAAAGAAAGCGTGTTGGAGAGACGTGGGTCTGCGAGTCCACACCGAGCAGCAGCCGCTGACCCCGCCCTGGCCCCGCCTCTGCCCGCAGAGGCCCCGCCTCCCCCATGCCAAGACCTTATAGGCGGGTGACGTCAGGTCGTTTGTTGTCATTGGCGGCTCCCAAGATGGCGTCCATCATGGAAGGGCCGCTGAGCAAATGGACTAATGTAATGAAGGGCTGGCAGTACCGTTGGTTTGTGCTGGACTACAATGCAGGGTTGCTCTCCTACTACACGGTGAGTCCTCAGGGGGCGAAGTTCACAGCGCCTCGGGGGTCGCGATGCCTCGCTGGAAGTGGGGGGCGGGCTTTTCAGAAGCCGGGCAGAGGTTGCTAGGTTGGGGGTGCCGCCGTACGAGAGGGTTCCCTCGTAGGGGAGGGTTTTATGTCCGGTAGAGCCAATGAGGGTGAAGGAGATGGTGGTACAGCCAATAAACAGACACTGGCTGTCTGATTTATGGGTTGGGGGCGAGCCGCGTTCTTTTCACCCCCGACCCCCCACCTTTGTAAGATGTGGGAGGGTCGGGAGTAGTGTGTGGGGGAAAGTGGTGGTGGTCTTAGTTTAAAGGGTCTGCGCCCGCGGTTCGTGTGGCTCCTCTTCCACGTTGTTAAGGACTTGACACTGTACCCCTGAGCCTTGTAGACGGCCTCGCCCCTTAGCTTCCCTCCGAGGATCGAAGAATGCTGCGTTCTTGGAGCTGTGGCCAGACCAGCTTGGCCACGTTCCTAAGATGACTGGCCCTCGGGCAACACGAAGGGGCTGAAATATCTCGTCTGCTCGAGGACTCTGTCCTCTGTTCAGCGGGAGGCAAGCGTAACCGACGCCTTAACTTTTTAGAGCCGAGAATTTCCTGCACACGAGTCTCTTGTTAGGAGGAGAGAGAAGGGGTAGTGCGGTGTCCCCTGAAAGTTATATTCTGGGGACGGTTAGCTTAGACCTTAAGTGTCTTTAGCACGAATCAGTGGCTGAGGCACTGAATTGCTATGAATTTTGTTCTGAATATCGCCCTTACTCCCTCCGTCCCTCGTCCCCGCCATCGTATTAGGAATGGAAGGTGGATAGTTTTAGAGACATTACTTTCAAAGATATTTTGTGTGAATGTGTGAACGGTGTGTAGTTAATAATAGCCACTGAGAGGGAGGACACTCTTTAAAAGAATAGAATGTTCTGAGGTTTTAGAAAAATAATAGATGGTAGACAGAAAAAAAATGATTATGCAAGAAGGGTTAGTGAGAGAAATGGAAACACTTGTATTTATTAGTTTATTTAAAAACATGTATTAAATTCCTACTTCATGTTTATTGTTATTGCTTCAAGCTAGGAGTGTGTGCAAATGCGTGTGCATGCGAGCAAGACTCAACAGATATCAAGACATCATTCCTCTTCTCTGGGATTTATATTCTAGTGGTTCCCTTTATTCATTTTACTCACAATAATTCTATAAAGAGGGTATAAGTTATTCCTTATTCCCCCCCCCCCGCCTTTTTTTTTATAGTTTTGGAAGCCGAGTCTCTAGGCTCTTAATTTGCTCATGTAGTTGGTGTAATCAGGATTCCAAATTCCTTTTTGATTTTTTCCCACTAAACCTCACTTTCACTCTAGGGAGAAAAGTGTAAGCTGTAAGTTACTAAAGTCAGGTGTGCAAGTGTAAAAACTTTTAACTTTCATCATTGTTCAACTATCATCTTCCTTTCTCTACATAATTCTTAGAGAAAGAAGACCACACCTGAATAAGATTTAAACTGATTATTCAAGATTATCTTTAGGTAGCCACAAGAGACAGCTGAACACTATATGCTGAAAGCTCTGAAATTAATGAAATCCCATGGATATGATAAATGAATAGTAATAGTGGATTTCAGTAGGTGTGTGTAGGGTAAGGTAAAAGTATCGGACTTTTCTGCCCTCCTGCCATTAGGATAGATGACGGAACCCTAAGGTCCTGAATGCATGCCTGATGGTGGCACCTGGAGTAGGGTGTGGGCATTTGTAGATGGGATTCACCTGGGCTAAGACTGGGCTTTTAAGGGTGGCATCACAGGGACGCCAGCAGAAGCCAAGAAAAGCCGAGAACGAGGTAGAATCAGGAGAAGCCAAGAGCAGAAGAGAAGCAGAGACCATCAGAGAACGCTGGAGAGCCCAGAAAGAGTGAAGACTTGGGCAGGCCTCCCAGCCCCCCAGCACCCCTCCCTGCCCCCTAGCACCCCTACCTGCCATGTACCCGGTAAATCCCAATAAAAGCCTGCAAAAGCCACTGAGGGCTCCATGACTCTCTCCTCCTCTACCCCGTCTGCTCGACCACAGAAAACTTGCTCAGTGTCCTATCCTGCCCCTACAGTGTGATAATCAGAAAATTCCATGGAAATTATCCATCCTTATCATAATAGAGTAATTTCAATAAGTGGCACTAATTAAGTTTTTCTACAAATCCCAAATTTTTGTGGGTCTGAACCTAGGGCCTTATTGGAGAGGCCCCAGGATCAGATTTTGGGAGCTTCTATCCCAGACAGAAATCTTTTTCCTGTTTTTCTTCTTTTATTGTGCCATTTTTCTGTCTCCTTGCTCTTTTTGTTTTTGAATACCTTGGCAAATCTCTCATTGCCTTACTGGCTAAATACTTGTTTTTCATCTACTTCTTTTTTCTCTTTTCCCTAATACTTATCCTCCCTTCTGAAACTAGATTTTATAAGACATCATCCTTGCCAGCGGAAGGCAGTATCATGTTTCTCACTAATGGCTATTTAGAAGTTGTTCTTTTTTTTTTTGTCTTTCCAAGTTCTTCTTTGTTACAGTATTTGCTTGCAGGGAAGCAGCAGAAAAATGTATCATCTTGTATAAATAAAATGATACCCAATTCCAAGTTAGAGGAGGCCCAGTAAAGATTGGAAAGGGCAAAGTGTTCACTTCACAAGAAAGTAGAACATTGAATGTTGGCAATGAGTTTTGCACACTGGACATTGTTTCAGTACATTAGGATTGGAAAGGATTTGAAAGTTCATATTAGTGCTATGCATATGGCTAATAACTTGGAGCTACATTGTCCAAGAAGAATATTTTAATTGCACAACCTTTTAAACAAAGCAACAAATAACAAGTCATTCTATCCCTTGTTTCCAAAATCACTTGACAAAAATCAGTTGGGCTCTTTTCTGGCTGTGTGGCTAGAGGATATTTTAGGTGGTCATTAAGACCTTGAATTACACTACATTGGTCTTGCTTAGAGTTACCCTGCACTAAGGATTGATATTACAATAATCTCAGGGTTGGGTTAGGATCCCTGGGATTGAAGGGATTTACCCAAACCTCATCTCATGCTGGAGCTTCTCCTTTGGACCTGAACCCAGACCCAAACTTATCCTTTGGCTATGGATGGTCTTTTTACCTTACATTTCTTTTGTTTCCATAATCTGAATTTTTAGTATTTGAAAAAGAGTTTAACATGTTTACTCTGCCCACTACAGACACAAAGAAACTGATAACCTTTAGGAAACAGTTTAGCGCAGTCCTTTTCAGCTATAGCTCTGTCTCTTAATTATTAGAAACTTAATATAGTTCATTAAGCAAGTATTTATTTATGGCTGACTTTGTATAGTGGACTATTGGTGGCATAAGCATGAAGGAGATATATTCTTTTATCTGGGAATCCAGTCTGTCAGAGCAGACATCTAAACAAAATTGCAGACTAATCTGACAAGTTCTATAATAGAAATAGGAGTTCAATGCTGTGGGAATGTTAGGGTTCAGATGATGGGATTTGGTGGGGGTCCTTGGGTCCCTCTGAGAAAAATACAGCAGACATTCCCATTCATCAGCATGCTGCAAGTATACTGAGGAAAGGGAAAAAAGGAGAGAGGTGCTTGCATAGACACAGTTGGGCAGACTTAAAAGACAGGAACTGCATTTTGCCAGAATAGGATTATCCTTTTATAGTGTTGTTTGATGAAATTATTGTGGAAATTACCATCTTGGGGTCAGATTGGGCTGGTCTTCTAAGATCAATAATCCTCTCTGCCCCTACCTCTGGCTGATAATCTTTTCTGACTCCACTTCAGTTTCCTGTAAACTTCCATAGCCAGTTTAAGATACATTAATCAGTCCTACCTATAACTATGCTGTTTGTCCTTGTGAGACCTTTCCATCCAAAATTTTTCTGCTTTGAGATTGCATCAGGAACATTACCTGGAAAAGGTCAGAGAAACCTATGAGCCAAGAATTAAAGGATAAAGAGAAGGGCATTTCATTCAAAGGGAAATATGTACTAATTGGGAAGTTTGAGAGCATAGGGTACATTAAGAAGATAGAATTTCTGAGCAACTTTAGTGTAAAGGTAAGTATGAGACATAATGGAAGACTGAGTCCAAAAGATATTTGGAACCATAGGTCATGCCTGGAGATGAAGCTTTATTAGATTATAGTGTGCAAAATTGGTTGAACTTTTATTATTAGTTGAGATACTCATATAAATTTGGGAACACTGTGTGATCACCCAATCATGATCTCAAGGGATGATGAGAGAGGAAAGAATATTGAAAAATATAGATATGTGAGGACTTGTAAGGTAAAAAGTTAGTGGAAGTCATGCCTTTAGTTAATAATTTATCAAGTGTTATTGAGTACATAAAGTTTGCCAGGCACTAAACTAGAAGAGGGGTTAAAATAGTAAATAAGATGAAAATCATCCATGCATTCATGATGCAGGGAGTCTACTGAGAGATACAGTAAGAGCTGTGATGGGAAAAGTGTATGCGAGGTACATAGGAGAGCTACCCGGCTCAGTCTTGGAGGTTAAGTAATGTTTTCCTAAAAGAAGCACATTTACTATGATCTGAATCATGCATAGAGGATAGCCACTGTCAGCATAGAGAAAAAACTACTTGAAATAAAGAGAATAAATGTTTTGGGAAGAGACAAGAGTAAGGAGCTTATCAGTCTTGGAGCTTGGACTGTGAGGTAGGCGTATCAGAATGAGCTGGAGAGATAGCTGGGGCCAAATAATAAAAAACTTTCTTGATAAACCTAAGGAATTTGAACTTTACCCCCAGGGCAGCAGAAAGTTATTCAAGTGAATAAAATCAATTAAGCCAATAAAATGATTTCTTGTCCCCTGATGACCAGTCTTTCTTTGATACACCTGTCAACTCTTTGCAGCCCCATTGGAGCTAAGTAATAATGGTAATAATTTGCTAATATCATCAGAAGATTCAGTTAATGTTCAATTTCCTTGGATATTGAACATC